TGTGCAGAACTGAACAATAAGTAGGTATTTTTATAAAATTTTAGTGCTACTGTTACTTATTGTTAATAAAAATGATTTTATAAAAAGGATGAAAATGCAATAAGCTCTTAAATACATGTAATTAAAAATATATAATTAAATAAACTTATTTTACTAGCGATTCACCCTCGCTTTTTTCGCGTTCGTCTACGTTTTAAAGGTTAGTATGGAATAGTCCATATATCGAAAATAGTCTATCCCTTGCTCCGTGAAAAACAAAAACAAATCTATCCCACGGGAAACGTACATTATTCCGGGATAGAAAGTATGTACTATTACAAACTATAATCTATCTCTGTGCCATATTTCGTCCAGATCCGTTCAGACGTTCTGGCGTGATTTAATAACAAACATCCACTATCCAAACTTTCGCATTTATAATATTAATGGGATTTATCCTGCAGTCAAACTAAAGGGGGTATGTTTATAGTTAATTTGTATGTTATAGGTATACAATTATTTTCGTTTAGTATTTATTAAATAACGAAAATTTATACGGTGATATATGAATGCACTCTCGAATATCCCGTACATTGACGTCGCGAATGCAGTCGTAATCGTGCTGAGCGCCGTCACCGACACCGACAGCTCTCATTTGCAACATGCGCTTATGCGGACGAAGAACCGTTGTAACTTTTATTTATTTTATTCGATTTCTTTATTGAGTCTGTTTGATAATACAAGTAGTCTGCAGATTCTCCAACATACGCTAATTGAGTTGAGTTTTTATACTTATAACGGTTTGTTATTTAGGATATAGCTTATGATAAATATGAATTCAATTAGGTATATAATTGCACTGTATTGTATATAGTATTTGTTTCGCATAAGTAACTTACATAATAGAATATTGTATAAATACGTTACCAAATCTAAGCATTGCATTTGTAATAAGTATGTAGTGAAAATGATTAAATCGTTATTATTATAATAACAAATAAGGATAACAGTAAGGACTATTTTGCAACAGGCCTAAAAAATATATAGTCTAGCAAATGGACATCATTCTAAATTATTTATATTATACTAGCAGAACCCGCGGCTTCGCTCGCGCTAAAACTACAATAAAAACTAAAAAGGTAGTTAGTTTCAAACAAACTTTAATTCCCTATTTTACACCCTTATAGGATGAATTTCGAAAAATGCTAAAACACGTATTTATTTAATTGTATTGTAGAGCATTAATAGCAAGTTTCAAGTAATTCTGATCATATTTTTTTTTGGGTTGTATTATAACGTGTTTTCCAATGGGAATGAGATAATTTCCTGCGGTAAAAAGTAGCCTATGTAGTGACATATATCACACAAGCATACAAGATAGTTGGCTGAAGATTGCTCCAGCCGTACAAATATCTTCATACAAAAAATCACGCCAATCCGTCACTCTATTTCGACGTGAAAGAAGGATCGTCATTTATTTTTCTACTGTCCCAAGGAACATAATAATAGTTTGGCTTTCGCTTTTATATTATTGTTTGTAACCTGTTGTTTGACTGGCAATATTATAAGGTATTGGCATGCCAAATTTTACTAAATTTGGTGCAAAAGTTTTTGTGTACTAAGCTGTCTAAGTTACTATAGTTTTTTAACTATCCCACAGGAACTCTTTAATTTTCCGGGATGAAAGTATCTAAGATGAACGGGGATATAAGGTACCACCATGCAAAATTTCAGTATAATTGGTCCAATAGTTTCGGAGATTAGCCCGTACAAACAGACAGAGAAATGAAAAATTTGAAAAAAAAACTGGATTTGTTCTATTACATCCTGTAAGAAGAGAACTGACTCGGTTTTTAGCCATTTTTTTCTATGTACAGACATTCGACCTCTACAGTTTTATTATATGTATAGATACAATAAAAAACGTATAATAAAACAGTAGATAATATATAATCATGATATTAATGATACATACCTCAACTGTACAAACCCATATCCACTTTCAGCCAGATATAAATTGTTAATCTTTATTTTATTGCTATTTCGCAATTTTTTTCATAATTGCTTTTATTAATTAATAAACTTTTAATTAAAAGAGTATTTAAATTTTCGTGTTCTAGTTTTTCTTTGCATACTACAAAATTCGTAATAACTTATATTTTATATTAAGTACAAAGAAAGTTTTGAAATTAGAACTTAACATTGAAAATAAAAAGCTTTTAAAAAATAAAATAAGAAAACTTTAGCTATTAGATGGAACGAAACGCCTCTGAAATATTTATTTTTTTATTAAATTCGAACTTTGCGCCGTCAATTAAAAGTGTGATCAAAACTTCGTCCGTTCATAAAACTTTTTACCCTAAATTTAGTGCAAGATAAGTGCGTCGATATTACGTAATCGTAGTAGGGGAGCGGCCCGGGCGCGAAAGGAGGCAGAGGGTGAGGCGGTATTTCGGCGGCCTTCCTGAAGAGCCTTCAGGCTGACGCGACGGACCGTCTAGACGTCTGGTAGCTACCATGTGTCGTAAGACCCATTATAAAATTCATGTCATTTGAACGACTTTACGCTGAGCCTGTTTTTTGTTTACTTTAAGATTGTATTGTTTGATATTCAAAGTGTAAATATTTCACTTCCATTATGTAGAGTGTAGGTTCATCGTACGAATAATAAAAACATTACTATAAAAAGTTTAATGTGATTAAAAATTTGTGAAAAATTCTTGGATCCTTTTAAGTGTTTCTATTATAACTGGATGCTGATATTCTTAAAAGATTAAGGTTTTAGAGCATTGTATTTAAATTACCCCATTAAAAGACAATCGCTCGTGATTACGTGTCATATTAAAGATTTGTTCTAGTCAATATGCTATCTGTACCAACTCACAATAAACTCAAAGTGTGACTCGAGGGCGACAACTGTGTGCGCTGTGAGAGCTGCACGGCTCATGGTGACGCACAAATAAATCCGTGTCGAGACAAGGTCGGCGCGAGGGCGCGGGCCTAGTTCGCGTACCACATCACTTTTGCAGTTACACATTGACTGTCTCATATAGACACAATTCGTTTTTCTCGAGCTATATATTTGTATATAATATTTATTTATTTATTTAATCATTTCAGGCAATATTTACAAAAGGATCTTAAATATGTAAACAGAGGCCCATAGTATGTATACCTTAAAACTAACATATATATTAATTATAAAACTTGAAAACTATATTAAGTGCGTAACTTATTTTCTTATCATTTTGTCCTACTACAGAGTGATAAGATTCAATAAAAACAGGTCAAGTGTAGGACGATAACACAACCAGTCTGTCTAAAAGAGGCATGGGGAAATTGTGAAAATCTATACATATAATAAAATTGTAACTAAGCCGAATCTGTACATTAGATACTTTTTAGAAAAACTTATTGAAATAAACATTATTATCGATACAGAGGCCGAATCTATATTTTTTAGAATTTTTGTCTCTGTCTGTCTGTTTGTCTATTACCGCATCACAGAAAAACCACTGGAGGGATTTTGAGGAAATTTGGTATGGTGATAGCTGGTTATCCGGGTCAACATATAGGATACTTTTTACCGCGGGAAAATATCTCATTTCTGAGAAAAAATACAAAAACTGCAATAGAAGAGTATACTAATATGTAAAACGTAACAATTTGGTTTTCGGTCACCTGAACGCGGGCATAGCCGGGGGCAGTGCTAGTTAATTATAAGAATTCTTATGTTACTCGAATATTTGAACCTATATACACAATTATATAAGCTAATCACTGTACCAACCAGCATAATAGAGATATAAAAAACATAATCTTTAGTCTCTATCAATATTTTGTCTTAAAAAAACAGTTTCGGTCAAATAAACGAATATTTTTTCTGTGCTAAGTATTTTAGCTATTCAAACACGCCATTTTCGTGGAATTTCTTTGATGTCACATATAAGAAGACGTTGTAATGAACGTTGTAATGTGGATATGTATTTGTAAGATTGGTAAATTTATTTTTAATTTTTGGTTTGTAAAACTATGGAACGAGCGAAAACCTACATATAAATATTTTTTAATACATATGATGTAATTAATTCTTACATATTATGTGCAGAAATATGTTAGTTACAAAGAAATACGTTTTCATTAATTAAATGATTATCCACACACACACACATTATCCATGATCATAACTAGCTTAAAGCTTTGACCCCTACACTTCTAATTTATATAGATATTTTAATATTCAGTAAGTAGGTATATATTTAATTAAAAAGCTATAAAACACACTTTAATAATAAACCGAACTAAAAAGTAAAAAATATTTTTTAGTATAAGAATAAAGTGAATAAGGAGAAAATTAATGTTATTGTGAAAAAAAGTAGGGTGCTTTGTACAATATTTTTATACGGATTCTACTTTTAGAAATCGTTCCAATGGAATATTTATAACAACTTATATCGGCACCCCACACTTTTTTCACAATAATATTTTTTTTCATAATTATTACTTTATTCTTATACTAAAATATTTTTTTACTTTTTAGTTCGGTTCATCATTATAGTGTTTTTTTGTAGTTTTTTAAACTAAAATTATTTGCCATCTTTTAGTTTGATCTGCTATAAACGCGTGTTTTTTTTGTTTCTTAAATTACTATTTATTTTTTAATAAATTATTGTATTGTCATCGGTTCTTGTTAAACGTGCAGTTTCAATTCAAATTAAAGATTTGAAGTGCGTGAAAATCGCATTCAAAAATTCATTCGTCACATAAACAGATATATAGATATAGGTGAAGCTAATAAAAGGCAAAAGCTTGTTAAAATAGGTACTTGAGTGGACTTTATAAATTCATTTAATTTATTTAAAAAATATACACCTATTATCGAAAAATAAAAATTGCAGCTGATGCTGTTTGATATTTTAAATTGTCTACTTTTAAATAAACAACCCTGAGATAGTTTAATATTCGAAGATAAATCGTATAGACAAATCATATTCCTTACTTTACAAAGAAACTCGAGATTAGTTGGGACAAAATGTAAAATTAAAAAGCTCCGAGCAATGCCGGTTATAATCGGTTGTAGACAATTTATAACATTCTAATCCAGTTAATGTGAATACCACCTGTACACACGGTGGCGCGGCGCTGGCATCACCAAACAATGGCAGACAGACGTGAGTCAGCGAGTGCGCGTCTCGCTGCACCGCGCCGGCCTGCCCTATGCGCCACATTCACCTGTCTGTTCAATACTACAAGTACAACTACATAATATGTATAATGTAAAAATTACATTTGCATCAATTCAACCAATATATTATTATAGACCAATCGGAATCTGTTTATTTTTAAGAGAAAAAAATATATTGAAAACCTGAAGTTTTATGATTTTAAAATGTTAGCACGATATAAGGAATAGAAATTCATAAAATGCCGCCGATGCCCAGCTACCCCCGAGAAATGGGGGAACGCAAAGCGTTGAAAAATATTTTTTTCCGATTACCGGCTTATTGTGACAATCTTTCGAAAAATGTTTTTTGCAAAAGTTGTAGGTCTAATAAAAATCTACAACTTTTATAAATAACACTTTTTACAATAATCTCAAAGTTTTCGAGATATTTGCAAAAAACTCGGTATTTAACTGTTTCTTGGTTTTTTTATTTTTAATTTCTAGAATAATCTTTTGATTTCCATAAAACTAAGGGAATATAATCTTCGAAATACATATAATAAATGAAATAAAATAAAAAAAACGAAATTGAAGTGTTTAGCCATTTCCAAGAAAAGTATGTTTTATGGTCTAGAGGCTGAAAAATCACCCCCACCTTCAAGTGGGCGTTTAACTCTACTTTTTGAAAATATAAAAATATTGTATGGTCATCTTGTAAAAACACCCTTAAAAATTTTAAATATTGGAGAAATCGATAATTTTTATTTAGTAAACCACATTTTTTTCAATTATCATTGAAAAAGTGTATTTTATTGACAAATTTTTTAAAACTGATTACACCAATGTATTTTTCAGGAAAAAACAAAAAATATGATATCCGTAAATTTTTAATTTAACGCTTATTATTTAAACAATGTTGCCGTAAATATTCCAACTTTTCAATTTGATGAGTCGTGAAAAAATAATAAAAGTTGGAATTTACGAATTATAAAAAAATACACCATCACATAAGAAAACACACCAGTGATTTTGGACATATATGTATATATCAGTGGCGAAGCGTTCATACCAGACGTCTTACCTTAAATTTATTTTGCTATAATTTTACATCCATTTAATTTTTTAAATGTATAAATGTTCTTTTGGAAATATATATAATTGTACTTTTTGACCAAAAACTCGGAGCGAAGCTCGGTGGCCCAGGTACTAGTATTAAAATAGGAAAAATAAAAAGAATATACCCAAATAAAATACATGGCCATAGTTTTAAAATATGAATCATTACGAATTAAGAAAATTAAAAAAAAACATAATTACAAGATGGAGGACACAAAATTAAAAAAAAAACTTTGTTTATTTTCGCAAAGGAAAAGCATTCACTCAATAATTGTTTCCGCCATGCATCCTGGTAGATGTAGACAGGTTTACCTCGGGGATGTTTCATTGTTTCTTCGCTGTAAGATAAAATCACTAGGGAGAATAATTATTTATTTAATTAGAAGCAACATGTCATGCGGGTGCGGGCGTCATAAAGTCGGATCACAGCGAATTGTAAAGCGTAATTGGAAAGAAACCCCGCTGAGCTCCGTCGGTTCTTTATTCTCTGGGACGTATTCGCATCTACATACATACTAGAGCATACGTTTTAAAATGTGAATATTTATATACATTTTTACAAGCACCATATTCTAATATTTTTGCCTGCAGCAAGAGCTTTATTAAACATATTTTACTAATATATAGGTTTATCTAAAAAAGTATTAACGAGACAATATCAGTATCAGTACGCTGTACAGGTGATGTTAACCTTAATAAGCAGACAATGCTATCTAAACATATCACGCTGGAGTTGTCTGCAAACGACGGTATCAAGTGCTATAACCATTGATAACGCGATATTGACGCTAGAGATAACACTTATCAACATATACACATATTATGGTAGGTACATAACCTACCATATAACACAGTCCCGTGGCACTATTTTAAATTGCGTAACTTTTATAAATAAAAATTTTCTTTTTTTAAATTCTTTTAGGCACGTATCGAACCATCTTATCAACTACTACTAGCATTGCCCGCGGCTCCGCCCACGTTCAGATGACCAAAAACCAAATTCTTAGGTTTTACATATTAGTATACTCTTACAGTTTTTGTATTCTTTCTCAGAAATGAGACATTTTCCCGCGGTAAAAAGTATCCTATACGTTGACACGGATAACCAGCTACCACCATACTAAATTTCATCAAAATCCCTTCAGTGGTATTTATGTGATGCGGTAACAGACAGACAGATAGACATATAAAAAATTATATATTTTTGAAACGGCTTACCTCTGCTAATATTTCACAATATCTAATATATTTAAGCGAGCAATTCTTGTATAGGTATATATATATATTTATATATAATCTGAATCTCGGAAACGTGTCCAACGATTTTCATGAAATTTAGTATGCTTTATATATACAAGAATTGATCGTTTAAATATATTAGATCTAATGAAGAACAGAATTAACTTATCAACCGACTTCAAAAAGGAGGAGGTTCTCAAATCGACTGTATTTTTTTTTATGTTTGTTACCTCAAAACTCCGTCATTTATTAACCAATTTGGACAATTTTTGTGTTGTTTGAAAGTGTATACTTCCAGATTGGTCCCATTTAAATTTCAAAAAAAAGTACCACCCCTAAGGGTGGAAAAATAGCTAATGATGAATTTAACCTACTTCTAATTGTCATATTGACTTGAAACTTTGCAAGTGTTTCTATTTCCGTTGATAGTACAGTGGTTCGGTATTGTTGACCTGATCTGATGGTAGGGCCAGAAGGTGGATAGGTGGAACTCTTCAACGGCTAATAGTAGATACTTTGAGTTTGGGCTTATTTTGTTTGAATTGACAAGCCTAACACGTTAGAATTCTTACTTTGCTACTACTGTCTACACTAAAAAGGGAAAAATAAAAACTTTTTAACAAAAAAAAAAAACCGACTTCAAACAAAATCACTAAAAAGTAAAAAAATAACTGATTGGTAGTTTTCATTTACTATACATACCTAATCAAATATTTTCGAAGTCGGTGTGCTTTGGCTAAGTAATTAAAGCCTACCTATTAAATACATACCTAATCAAATATTTTCGAAATCAGTGCCAGCCCATATAAAGCAAGCTTTTTGTTTAAGCGTATTTGATTTGTTTTCAAAGAACTAGACTATCCACATTTATATACCAAAGCTTAATTCAAAGTTATTCTTAATCAGTAATTATGACACGCGACACACAGCTACAGCTCCACTAAGTTACGCAAAGTCAATGACTTATTTCGGCTCGTACTTATGTTTAATTTACCACAAAAATGTTTACAACTTACAACCCATATAAGAATTTGTAGATGAGTTAATTAGTTTTTTCATTACTCAAGTTTTTGATGGTGTCGTTGACCCCACAAGGATAACTATGATGGTCAAAGTTAAAATTATTTGGATATTAATATTAATTTCATATTAACTTTATGAACGTCGTACACTTTTTATTTTAAAATATTCTCGTAACTATCTAGAAATTATTTAAATGTCCAATTTTTTTCTTATAAGTTATGGAGGGTCCCTCCATATTATAAGTATATAGATATAGGGTCCCTTATAATAAACTGTTTTTAAATTTAATTTAATATTAAAAATTTTAAAATGCTATATTTTATACTAACGCACATTTGTAAGTTGTAACATACGATCTTATAGTATGTAACCCTTGAATGCGATATCACAACCGTTTAAGTGAAAATGAAAAAAAGTATTTTCCCACTGAATTTTATTTTATTACATTATATTATTATATAAATAGAATATATTTTATTTTAATCTAATAAAGAAAGGCTTCAAATAAATACTACAAGAGTGAATAAGTATGTATTGTTTTTGTTGTAGGTATCTATAATTACTTTAGTGAAATCGCATACTGATGAAATTATAACTGGTAGAAAGTGTGACTGGTGAATGCGTTCAGACCGTGGCGGGGTGATGGCTGAAGAGCCTTCAGGTGACGAGCCGGAGCCACCGTCTAGACGTCTGGCGCCTACCATATGTCGTACGCTGTACACCGCACACCGCACAACCAGCCTCACTACTATCATAAGCACCTACTTTCTATACCTTTAACCGCTTTCAACTGCATATAATATTAATATTATTGTTTTATTCTAAATATCATTCTTACTTATACCTACATTGCTATTTACAAATCCAACCAATAGGGAATATGTGTGATTTTTTTATGGCGTGACGTCACAGTATATCATACAGAGAGAAAAAGACAACGCAATTTGTAGCGAACAAAATTATCGCTAATCGCTCTGTTATGATATACTCTGACGACATATTAGCTCTGACCAAAGGCGTTCGTTTCAACTACTTTGAATTTCCTACCTATATTTACACTTTTGAATAATTATATTTTTAATCTATACGTATAATAAAATTCTAACTGAGTTAAATCTGTACATTAAATATTTTTTTACAATTCTTATTGAAATAGACATTATTCTCGATACAGAGGCCGAATCAATAGTTTTTAGAATTTTTGTCTGTCTGTCAGTCTGTCTGTCCGTCCGTCCGTCTGTCTGTTACCGCATCACAGAAAAACTACTGGACGGATTTTGATGAAATTTGGTATGGTCATAGCTGATTATCCGGGTCAACATATAGGATACTTTTTACCGCGGAAAAATATCTAATTTCTGAGAAAAAATACAAAAACTGTAATGTAAGAGTATACATACTAATATGTAAAACCTAAGAATTTGGTATTTGTTCATCTGAACGCGGGCGGGGCCGCGGGCAATGCTAGTCAAAAATAAATTACATTAAAAATATTAATATAGGTTTAATTCAAAAGCAATAAATATTATTAAAAAATGTTTCACCTTTATTTAAATCACACGCATATTCCCTATTGTCCGGATGATATACAGCAGCAGTTGGTGATCGATTTCTTCAGTGGACCAAGTTACTACTGATTTTTGAAGTTAATAAAATAATAACCTACTGGGCAACGTCAATATTTTT